ACACATCCCGCAGTGATTGGCAAGTCTGCTTTAACAGGGGCCGTGTTTCGGATTGAACTGATGAGCCAGCAACCACAGCTCTGCCCACTCTGTCATCCTCACGCAAGCCAAGACATGGAGAAGGAGTGCTTGTATCACCTCCTCTCCAGCCGGAACGGAACAGCTGCTCAAATTACCTGCTCACAACTTTAATGCCGGTAGCTCACAAAGTAGAATTTTTGCTCACAAGACTCCACAGTTTAGAGGGAACATTGCGAGTCTGGAGCCCTCCTTCCTGAGCTAAGACAAAAATCTGCAAGCTGGAGGCTTCAAATTACCTGCTCACAACTTTAATGCCGGTAGCTCACAAAGTAGAATTTTTGCTCACAAGACTCCACAGTTTAGAGGGAACATTGCGAGTCTGGAGCCCTCCTTCCTGAGCTAAGACAAAAATCTGCAAGCTGGAGGCTAAAAAATGTGAGCTAGTTCATACTAACTCAGCTTAGAGGGAGCATTGGTCCTGAGGTGGAGCAGCTGCCGAGGCCCCAGGCCTTCTGGTGGGGCCCACTGCCACTGACCACATGCCTCCCCTGCTGCTCACCCGCTTGCTTGCTTGCAAGAAGAAGAAGAGACTGGATTTATACTTCACTTGGAGTCTCAGAGTGACTTACACATAGGCGTAATCTTCGTGGGGGCGGCGGGGCGTCAGCCCCCGCCGAAATTTTCAGGAAGGCTTTCCCCTCCCCTCCCCACAATAGACACCCTGTGAGGTAGGTGGGGCTGAGAGAGCCCTTTTGAGAACTGTTTCTGAGAGAACAGCTCTGAAAGAAGTTGTCACTGACCCAAGGTCACACCAGCAGGTGCATGTGGAGAAGGGGGGACTCAAACCCAGTTCTCCCAGATTAGAGTTTGTGCTCCTAACCATTTCACCAAACTGGCTCTCGAGATACCTGAGACAAAGTAGAACAAAGTCTAAGACCAACAAAATTTAATTCTGGGTATCAACCCCCACACACTTTTTCAGTTTTGTAACATGGGGCACGTGGCTGGTGCAGGCATCTGTGAGTGCAGGTGGGGGGGGTGGGGAGGATGCACAGGCATGTGGGTCAGCAAGTGGGGAGGGGGGGTCTGGTGGAAGAGAGGAGAAGAGGGAAAATCTGGAAAGGGCCCTGATTCCACATTTGATGGATCTCTGATCGGGTCACCTGTATGAGAGAGGCATGCTTCAAACTCCCGTTTCTCTCTCTTGCTTCACACGTTCAAGTTTATGTCTTTTTTAAAAAACCAGGCCTAGGGAAAAAGAAGAGGCCCTCTCATTTGCATAGTTCAAATAAGGAAACGTGTTCAGGCAGGACGGGGCTCCTCAGACCTCTTGGTCACGAAGCATGTCTGGTGAGCACATCCCTCAGCACTCTTGCTCCATCCGTGTTCCCTCTCGCCCATCGTGCACACTCCTCTCAGCTCCTTCCCTCTCCCTTTTCTCCCATCTAGTGGAGCTGGCACGGCAGGCTTCCTTCCCCACGGCCCTTTCCCTCTCCGTCTGTGTAATGTATCCAGTCCTGACAAGTCCAGAGAAGTCCAGAGACAAACGTCGAGCTTTGCTCCAAGAGACAATGGACTATGCGGATCCTAGCCCGCTCCAATCAGGGGGCTAGGTTCCTGGCCGAGAGCCAATGGGACTCTCGGCCACTGTAAATAACCTATTGGGAAGTGGGGGGGTGTTTTGGGTGGCGGTTTCTGGGGGAATATAAGCCGGCCTGCGAGCCAGCCAAAGCCGTCTTGTTCCTGATCGAATAAAGTACGCTTTGCTGAAATCACTCTCCGTCTGCGTACTTTTCAGTCTGGCACCATCATGTTCACCGTGCCTCCCTCCAGGGATAGCAGCCCTGTGTCGGTCTGGGTATTTATTTCTTTATTAAATGTGCTTATCTCCTGCCTCTCCAAACACCCCCTGGAGGAAACTAATGGGAAGAAAAACGAACACAAGTTTAAACCCCAACAAAAACAAGCAACTAGGTAAAACTAATGACCCCCTGCAATAAACCCAGTCCAATCTATAGGTATCAAACTGACAGTGTAAACTATTCATTGTGACCGTGGGCATGATGGTGCCTGCCAGCTCTTTTCCTGGCGCCCCGCCCACAAGGGTGTTAGGAAATGGGTGGGGCCAGGTGGGGATTTTGCCCAGTGGGGCTCCTGATCAGTTATGGGAGAGTTGATGGGCTATGTGGATTTTTTTTTTTTTACAAAAATTGGTTGGGCATCAGCTGCCACCATTGCACAAGGGTGTTCACTGCACGACTGAAGGTAAGCTATGTGTGCGCAAGAAAATGTTTTTAAATACATTCATTTTAAAAGGCATTGTGTTAAGCAGAGCTTTGGTCTGAGAGCCAGAGTCATGTACTGGTTGAAGTGTCGGACTGGGATCTGGGAAACCCACGTTCGAATCCCCACTCTGCCGTGGAAAGCTTTCTGGGTGACCTTGAGCCAGTCACAGATTCTCAGCCTAACCTACCTCACAGGGTTGTTATGAGGATAAAACGGAGGAGAGGAGAAGGATGTAAGCTGCTTTGGGTCTCCGTTGAGAAGAAAGGTGGGATATAAATAAATGACCTGAACAATAAAGGCTGAAGAGTCACTGTTACGCATTACCTCACTCCCTGACATTTTGTGGTTGGCTCCGCCTTCTGAGGCAACCATGTTTGTGCTTGGCTCCACCTCCTGCAGCCGCCATTTGTGGCTGGCTCCACCTTCTGAGGTTGTTTGCAGTTGTGATTGTGCACACCACCCTGTGTCAGAATTCCCAAGGTGTCCACATCATCAAAAAGGTCAGGGACGGACCCCCGTTTAACATATAAGGTAAAGGTTTCCCTTTCTTGGAAGCCAGTCGAATCCGACTCTAGGGATGCGGTGCTCATCTCCGTTTCAAAGCCGAAAAGCCAGCGCTGTCCAAAGACACGACGGGAGCTCACTCCGTTATGCGGCACTTGGGTCTCGGACACATAAGACCAGCTTATAAAAGCATCAAACTGGTGAGGGACACTGGCTATGCTTAATAAAACAACTAAAAGAGAGGGATAACGTTTTAGTTAAAAGTGTGGGGAAACTTAAATGTTTTAGCCCAACACCTGTGTTCTAACGGAGTAGACGTTAGGTAGAGCTTTAAGCGTGAGGGCATTCTATAACTCAGGTGTGTTACAAGAGGCTCCATAGTCACCTGTGTAGGGATTTTTAAATTTTAGGGGTCCAGACCTCTTTCAAGGATCCCAAATCCCAACTAGGGTTCTTTTCTGTGGGTGGGTGGAGTCTGGCTAAGGAACTCAGGCCTCCAGAAGGAGAGAAACACAGAGAGAACAGTTGCCTTTAACGAAAAGTATTTATTAACTCTAACACCATACACAAGTAAAACTCAATAGCATATATTCAATATCAATACCCAATAGCATATAGAAAAATCTCAATACCCGATATACTGTGCACTTCAGAAAGAACAAGGCCATTCCTGGACCACCAAGACCTCACTCAAGCCTAGGTGGGTTGCAGGCCAAACAGCCTCGAACAAAGCCCAAAGCCTTCTTTTTATTCTCTTTTCAGCCAATAGGAATCAAGGGAGGAGTCAATTTAAAATATGCCAAACTTGCCAAATATCTGCCCATCCTAAGTTGATAGGATGAACCTTTACTAGTGTCATGATTCTGGGCCTAATGTGGTGTGGCCTAGTGGCTCCAGGGAAGCCTGCATGGGAGTAGTCGTCAAGACCTACATTTCCCAGGATAGGGTTGCCAGGTCTGGGTTGGAAAATACCTGGAGACTTTGGGGGTGGAGCCAGGAGAGGGCGGGGTTTGGGGAGGGGAGGGGCCTCAGCCGGGTACAGTGCCACAGAGTCCACCCTTCCAAGTAGCTATTTTCTCCAGGGGAGCTGATCTCTGTCAGCAGGAGATCCGTTGTAAAAGCGGGAGATCTCCAGACCCCACCTGGAGGCTGGCAACTATACCTAGGTTCCCTCTGGACCCTGTGATTGGGTAACAGGAGATTTTGGCGGGGGAAACTACACCAGCAGGGGAACAGGGGGTGGTGCCTGGGCAGAGGAGAGAGAAGGCCTTGCCCAGAGTGGGCGGGTGTCCTCTCCCGGGGAGCAGGGCTGGTGGAAGCTGCCATAGACAGAGGGGTCCCTCATCCAGAAAGGGGTGAGTTAGACTGTGAACGGGTACCTAGGGGAGGCTAGGACTGTGCAGACAGATGTGTTAGAATGCATTATTTTACTGATTTACCTGCCTTTACTTTGCTCATTTTGCTTACTTGTTATAGATCTACTCTGCCTGGGTCCTCACGCCTCATTTGGTCATGTACAAGGGGAGACCGGTCGCAAAAGTACTGTAGAAAGGGGTCGGGTGGGTGCTCTGGGCCTCCCAAGGAGACCCATGCCAGAGTGGAGGAGGAGGAGATTGGATTTCTACCCCGCCCTTAACTACCCAAAGGAGTCTCAGAGCGGCTTACAAACTCCTTTCCCTTCCCCTCCCCACAACAGACACCTTGTGAGGTAGGTGGGGCTGAGAGAGCTCTTGACAGAAACTGCTCTGTTTTCAAGAACAGCTCTTATCAGAACTACGGCTTGCCCAAGGTCATCCAGCCAGATGCAAGGGGAGGAGTGGGGAATCGAACCCGGTAACCACTACACCAAACTGGTGGCAGCCAGTAGTGAACCTTCCTAGCTGCTGCCTGCAACAGCTCATATGACCTTTAGCCCAGATATAGTTTTTTTTTTTAACTGTGATGTCAAAAAGACTTTGATATGTTTAGGCTTTTGGAGCCCGGTACTTGGAAGGCCGTGGAATGTGAATTCAGGCAAAGGTACATCTACAGGGCAAGGCTTTAGTTTTTGTGCCTAGGCTGCCAGCAAAAGAGCAAAGGCTTATAAGACTTCTGAACCAAGAAACCAAAGTCAGTTATAGCAAAACCTACATTGGCCCCGGTCACACGGCAAAGTTGCCGCGGGAGAGGCATGGATGGTGGGCGGATTATCCGGGCACGATCACACCCCAACATCTAGGAAGTGGAGCGCACCTGTGGCTTACTGCCGAAAATGCGCGTTAAAAAAGTAGTACCTCCAAAGTACTGGTAAATTGTTTGCCACCGGCTGCCCCCAGACTCCCGCAGTGTGATTGCGCCGGTGCGCGGCTTTTCCCTCTGGCCCCTCGTGTACGCGCTGGCGCCGAGAGAAGGTCCCGTGGTGTGCCGCCGGCGCATCTGATCGCATAATCGCGGATCAAACTGCACCAGGGCAATTAGCCATGGCTCCCCCCCCGCGGTATCCGACCCATGTGACTGGGGCCATAGCAAAAAAACCCAGAAAGGCCCAGGCTCACTGAACCCCAAATTCTGCCCGTTTCTACCACGGGAATGTGGAGTTTATTTTGTTGGCTCAGGCCTCAAGCTGTTATACCTCAATGAGGAATTCACCTCTCCAGCTTTATTCTACCCCCCAACACATTTAGGACTTCTGTCTGCTGCTACCAGCTAGTGTGGCGTTTGAGGTATATTTGTCAGGTAATCCTCCATTCCCTTAAAACACTCCTCTCCAGGTTAAGAACCACTTACCTACTACAAACCACCATGAAAATAGAAAGAAAACACTTGGAGGATGTCACTTGTTAGGGTTACTCACATTCAGGTAAGCATCTTCCTAGGTCAGGCATCCTCAATGTGGTGCCTGGAGGCCAGGGGCGCAGCACCTTTTGCTGAGGCCCTAAGCTATCTGTAGCTTATTTAGCTTATGCGTAAATCCGGCACTGCTGGAGGCCCCCACCAGCACCTTTCCTGATGCCCACTAAGAGCTTCTAGAAAGTGGGCCGGGCAAGGTGGAGCCTTCTCCCAGCAAGGGTGCTGTTTGACCATTGGAGCTTGGATTGGCTGTGGAGATTTTTGAAAAGTTGCTTTGGCAATAGCCGCCACCACAACACAAGGATCTTTTCTCTGACTGAAGGTAAGCCATGGCAGCCATTTTGTAGCTGGCTCCTCCTCATGCAGCAGCCATTTTGTGGCTCCACCCACCCACCAACTCTGTCAGAATTCCAAAGGTGCCTGTGGGCCAAAAAAGGTTGGGGGTTCCCAGGGCTTTTTTTTTTTTTAAGAGGTGCCGGAACTCTCAAGAGGGAAATGAAGTCTTCAATCTATATACTGAAAACTCTTAAACTTTGAAACATTTTAAAAATAATTTCGTCAAAGAGGTTCCAGAACTCTGTTCCGGTGCATTCCCCTAGCAAAAAAGCCCTGGTAGGTTCCCTTTTGTATCTTGGTAAGTTAGGTTTTGTGTGGGTGCAGAGGCAAACATAAGACAAATTTGAGAAAAAGAAAAAAATTAACTTCCCTTGAATAAGAAGTCCTGGGGTGCAAAAAGCAAAAGCATACGGTTGGGCAAATATTTACTCACGATATCAGAGTAAAGGAAAATAAAATGGGTATTAAATGCAATCGCCTCTCCCTGGGTCTAAGACCTACCCCTACGATTGTAAAAGAAGTAGGCAGAATACTCTTAAAACTTCCAGATTTCTTGTTCTTTTTCTGACACTATTGTTCTTCATGGAGCTGCGGTGGCTCAAGTGGTTGAACTGCAGGCTGTGGAAGGTCAGTAGTTCAGTAGTTCGAGACCCGGGTGCCACATGATAGAGTGAGCTCCCATCTCCAGTTCCAGCTTCTGGCAACCTAGCAGTCCGAAAGCAAGAAATTGCAAGCAGATAAATAGGGACCACTTCAGTGGGAAGGTGACAGCGTTCTGTGCACCTTGGTGTTTAGTCATGCCGGCCACATGACCACAGAAACGTCTTCGGACAGCGCTGGCTCTTCGGCTTTGAAACGGAGATGAGCACCGCAACCCTAGAGTCGGACTCCACTGGCATTCGAGCAAGGGACCCTTTACTTATACCTTTTTATTGTTCTTCATCCTTTGAGGTCTCTCCTACCTGACTATGTGTTCTGATCTCCTTGTATGTGTCTCTCTGTGTTTACCCAGGCATATCTGTATCTGTTTTTGTGTTACAAGGTACGAGAGATAAAACCAGCAGACCATTCCCCTGCTTTACCTAGTAGGAAATCATCAGTTAAAAAGAAATCCCTGGAAGGTTTCTGGTGGCTTCTACTGAATATTCCAGATAAGGCATAAGTCCTAAGTATTCACAAAGTAAGGATGTGGAATGGTATGGTATAAACTGATCTTGTCAGATCTTGGAAGCTAAGCAGGGTTGATACTTGGATGAGGGACCACCAAGGAAGACTTTGCGGAGGACGGCAGTGGCAAACCACCTCTGCTTCTCACTTGCCTTCAAAATTGCAACTTGACGGCACATACATGTATATTCATTCACGGAATGCAAAGTGAACACCCACCCTGCAAAGTTGTCGATTTTTACACAGATATCTGGGTTGCAATGTCATTGCGTTACATGGGGTGCCACCACTGAGAAATCCCTGTCCCTAATCCCCACCTGTTTCACTTTTGCAGGTGAGCACACAAGGTGCAGGCCTTGAAATGAAGATTGTAACGGGTAAGTTGGATGGTGGAATTCAAGTTGGGACAGCACAGATTCAAATGCCCACCAGAATTTCCCTCCCCCTTTTACTAACTCCACTCTGTTGCCTTCAATGGCAACAGAAATGAAAGAATTAAGCCTGTTAAGCCATTGGAGAACGACCTCAGTCTGGGCAGGTCTGCATGGGAGAAGGTCTCACTTTTGTCATGGACACTTTGGTGTAGCCTTGGCCAAGTCATTAGCAGAACCTCCATTCCCATCTGTCAGATGGGGAAAACCTCATAACCTCCCCAAGGGAATGATGGAAAGGAATGGAAACCAAACCAGCCTGTGTGAGTAGGTATGATTTAACTTAAAGGTAAAGGTAAAGGTTCCCTTGCTCGAAAGCCAGTCGAGTCCAACTCTAGAGTTGCAGTGCTCATCTCCATTTCAAAGCCGAAGAGCCAGCGCTGTCCGAAGACATTTCCGTGGTCATGTGGCCGGCATGACTAAACACCAAGGCACACGGAATGCTGTTACCTTCCCACCGAAGTGGTACCTATTTATCTACTTGCAATTTCTTGCTTTCGAACTGCTAGGTTGGCAGGAGCTGGAACTAGAGAAGGGAGCTCACTCTGTCATGCGACACACTCGGCTCTCAAACTGCTGAACAACCGACCTTCCACAGCCTGCAGTTCAGCGTCTTAACCACTTGAGCCACCGCAGCTCCTTAACTTACCTGTTAACATTTATATCAATGTACTGTCCGAAGGTATGAAAGCAACGTCTTAAGAATTACAGTACAAAGGCCGGTTTGGCTTGGTTTCCTGGAATCTGCATTTCCTTTTAAGAAAAGCAGAGGAACTAAAAGTGTGAATTTGTAATATGCTGCCCAGGGCCAAAATACTGGTATCGGTTGAGTAGTTCCCCACACCCTTAGTAGGACATGCCGTTCCCCCAGGGACTTTCTTGGCGCAATTTCACTATAAACCAGCCCCTGCATAAACCAGCCCTGTCTGGGGTACATCTGCCTCTTCTGTCAGGACCAGACATGGGTATTGATGGCACAATCCTTTTTCCTGTTTGGCCTCGTGCACTGATGTGTAATTCAAGAATTTTTTTTTTTTATTGGGATGGAGGAGGCGGTTGCCAGTTAACCTACTTAGCGACTTCCGCAGAACACAAACATTTCTGCGTCGGTGCTTGTGAAACATCGGAGTTTGCGATGAGAACAGCGAGAAGGAAACAGGACTCCAGGTTGAAATTCCCGGGGCGGGGGGAGAGTGGACTGTGAATCTATTGCTGTCTGTAAATCTGACTTGCCCCGGCAAGCCTGATCTCGTGAGATCTCGGAAGCTAAGCAGTGTCTGCCCTGACTAGTATCTGGATGGGAGACCTTTGAGGAATACCAGGGTCGTGACACAGAGGCAGGCAATGGCTAACCACCTCTGAATGTCTTGAAAGGTCTATGGGGACTTCATAAGTCAGCTTGAAGACTCCATGGGGTCAACTTGCATGGTTTTCTTGTCTTTACCCTAAAATTGTGTGTTGGCAAGGCAGACCTACCAACATTTCCCAAATGAAAACAGGCACAGTCTTGTAATACCCCAGTTCTCATACCTGAACCTCCACCTTGCACAGTATTTGGGTAGGGGGTCATCACCCAGTGGTAGAGCCTCTAGTTGTCACACACAAGGTGCCAGGTTCAACCCCCAGCATCTCCAGGATCTGGCAGTAGGTGATGAGAAAGACCTCTGCCTGAGACCTTGGAGAGCCGCTGCCAGTCTGAGGCCCCTGCCACACGGCAGGGAAAACACTGGCCAAAGTGCGGCTTTTAAAAGCCGCAACAAAAAAGAGACGCCGCGGCGGGATCCCACGATCCCCTGAGCCACGGTGCCGTTGCTCCCCGGCACGATCAGATGCCAGGGAGGAAGAGATGATTGGGAGGCTGCCGACCTGCGCATGCTCGAGCATGCGCAGAACGGCCGGGGATGCGCCAGCGAAAAGACGCGCCGGAGATCCCACGGCCGGCAGTGATGCGGCCTTTTTTGATGCGGGTTTTGGCCGAGAGGGGCGGATTGGGAACGGGCTGGGAACGGGTGCAGCACGATTCCCAGATGTTGCTGTGGGATCGCGCCCGTTTGCTGCGGCCCCGATCTGTCCCTCTCCCGGCCCAAAACGTCTCGTGCGAACAGGGCCCGAGTAGACAATCCTGACTTTGGTAGACCAAGGGTCTGATTCAGAATAAGGCAGCTTCATGTGTCCAGTATTGTTGCTGAATTCTAATCAGCCTACTACATTTTGGATCTGTTCCCTCTGTACAAACCCACTCTCCACCGACTTAAAGAACTAAGAGGGTGTTTGTTCTTGGGCTTGAAGCTATGCTTGAAAAGCACCCTACGATAGGTTATCAAATGTACAGCAATAGTTTCAGTGTGCAGACTGGGAGGTTGTGCCGAGTGGGATGGCTTACTTTCAGTGCACAGGTGTTGCCACACACCGTGCTAGTCAAGACATGATCCACCCGCTACAGACAGATTACATTTATGGAACTGAACCCCAAGGAGCAACCACTGTAGGTATTCGTGCTAACATTTTAACAAGGCACCCCTTAAATGGAAAAAAAAATAGGGCAGTGACTTAATGGGGACGGGGATCAGAAAATATGGACTCTCCTTGCTAATTAGTGAAATTTGGGGCTGTATAATGACATAAGGAAGGCCGAGCGCTGAAGAATAGATT